GTAAACAAGGGGCAAAAAATAGTCAACAAATCTATAAAAAAGGAGACTTTTTTGTTTTGTATTTTGAAATAGTTTGGAAGAATCTCCCGAATCTCTTGGGTCAGGTTTTTGAAATAGATTAAAAGAATCTCTGGGACACCTTGTGTCTGGTTTTTGAAGTGGTTTGAAAGAATCTCAGGGACTCTTTTTAGTTTTGGAAGTAGTTTAAAACAATCTCACGAACCAGTTGTGTCTTGTTTTTGAAGTAGATTAAAAGAATCTCTGAGACAGCATTTATCTGGTTTTTGAAGTAGTTTAAAAGAGTCTCTGCGACACCTTGTGTTTAGTTTTTTAAGTATTTTGAAACAATCTCGGGGAATTGTTTTGTTTGGTTTTTGAAGTGGTATGAAAGAATCTCGCAAACAACTTATATCTGGTATTTAAAGTAACTTAAGAGAATCTCTGGGAGACCTTTGTCTTGTTTTTAAAGTAGTTTAAAAGAATCTCAGGGACCCCTTTTGTTTTGTTTTTAAAGTAGTAAGAAAGAATCTCGGGGACTTTCTTTTTGTTTGGTTCTGGAATTAGTTTGAAAGAATCTCGAAGACCCCTTGTGCCTGGTTTTTAAAGAAGTTTGAAAAAATCTGGAGACTTTTTTTTCTTGTTTTTAAAGTAGTTTGAAACAATGTCGGAGACTCTTTTTCTTGATTTTTAAAGTAGTTTAAAAGAATATCGGGGACTTTCCTTTTGTGTGGTAGTGAAGTAGTTTGAAAGATCTCGCGAACCACTTGTGTCTGGTTTTTAAAGTAGCTTAAAAGAATGTCTGTGTCATTTGTGTTTGGTTTTTGGAGTAGTTTGCAAGAATCTCGAGGACCCCTTTTTTTGCTTTTGAACTAGTTTGAAAGAATATCGCGAACCACTTGTGTCTGATTTTTGAAGTAACTTAAAAGAATCTCTGTGTCACTTGTGTCTGGTTTTTGAAGTAGTTTGAAAGAATCTCGAAACCCCTTGTTCCTGGTTTTTAGACTAGTTTGAAAGAATGTGGAGCCTTTTTTCGTCTTCTTTTTAAAGTAGTTTGAAAAAATGTCGGAGACTCGTTTTATTGGTTTTTAAAGTAGTTTAAAAGAATATCGGGGGCTTTCTTTTTGTGTGGTAGTGAAGTAGTTTGAAAGATCTCGCGAACCACTTGTGTCTGGTTTTTAAAGTAGCTTAAAAGAATGTCTGTGTCACTTGTATTTGGTTTTGGAAGTAGTTTGCAAGAATCTCGATGACCCCTTTATTTGTTTTTGAACTAGTTTGAAAGAATCTCGCGAAACCTTGTGTCTGGTTTTTGAAGTAACTTAAAAGAATCTCTGTGTCACTTGTGTCTGGTTTTTGAAGTAGTTTGAAAGAATCTCGGAGACTTTTTTTGTTTGGTTTTTGAAGTAGTTTGAAAAATCTCGAAGACCCCTTGTGACTGGTTTTGAAAGTAGTTTGAAAAAATTAGGAGACTTTTTTTGTTTTGTTTTTAAAGTAGTTTGAAAGAATCTCGGAAACTTTTTTTTTTGGTTTTTAAAGTAATTTGAAAGAATCTCGGGGACCTTTTTTGTTTGGGTTTGGACGTAGTTGAAAAGAATCCCGCGAACCACTTGTGTCTGGTTTTTAAAGTAGTTTAAAAGAGTATCTGTGTCACTTATGTATGGTTTTTGAAGTAGTTTGAAAAAATCTCGACGACCCCCTTTTTTATTTTTGAACTAGTTTGAAAGAATCTCGCGAACGACTTGTGTCTGGTTTTTGAAGTAACTTAAATGAATATCTATTTCACTTGTGTCTGGTCTTTGAAGTAGTTTGAAAGAATCTCGAAAACCCCTTGTGCCCGATTTTAAAAGTAATTTGAAAGAATCTCGGGGACTTTTTTTGTTTGGGTTTTGAAGTAGCATGAAAGACTCTCGGGGATTTAATTTGTTTGTTTTTTGAAGTAGTTTGAAAGAATCTCGCGAACCACTTGTGTCTGGTTTTTGAAGTAGTTTAAAAAAATCTCTCGTACACTTGTAATTGGTCTTTGAAGTAGTTTGAAAGAATCTCGCGAACCAATTTTGCGTGGGTTTTGAAGTAGTTTAAAAGAATCTCGGGGACACCTTGTCTCTGGTTTTCGAAGTAATTTGAAAATATCTCGGGGGGCCTTTTGTCCTATTTTTGAGTATGAATTTGAAAGAATCTGGGTCTACTGAATGTCATGCAGAAAATTCAAATGTACATTTCAAAATTTACCCAACCTTTGGAAAGAACTGTTTTTTGAATAAAATAAAATATTATTCATATACGCCTATTTTGATTAAATTTCACAATAACTTGTTTTTGCGAATTGCACGTTTCAGGATGCTATTGTGGGTTTTGCGTTCCAAAAGTTTGTGTTTTTCCCAAAATAAGCAGTTCTATTATTCATAACAATGGGCCATAAAAATACAGCTTCAAAATATCTATAATTACAACGTTTGTTGATGAAAATTTTGTTTGTTGTGGATACAACCAATGAAAAGAGAAAACCAACATGATGTTCTATTCATGATAAACTAAAATTCGACAATCCAACACAAAACAAATAAAAATAGTCCTCACAATGGAAATGTTATGACATCGTTAAAAATATGGTGCAAAAATTATTTCATTCTTTGTTGTATTTTGGATTTACACTGTGGGTCAATTGAAAATTTTCTATTTAACCACAAATGAACATACGGTTAAGTTAATTATTACATAGGGATCAGATATAAAGAAAAAACCATCACATTATATTTTACTGCATTGTGTACCATCAAAAGAAGCATAAATTTTGTGTTTTGTTTCACTGACAATAACGATAAAAATCTAAATGTTTCTGACTACATGATCTGCATCAAAAAATAAACGAAAACCATTCGGTTTACATTAGGGTAAGTCACCCATTTTGAGTCGTTAGAGATAGCTGCAGCTATTAAAAGTCTACAAATCAGTAATTCACGGGACAATGGATATTCAATTCGTTAAACAACAAACCTGTTTTAGTCCAAACGGAGTGATTAAAAATTTTTGCTACGACGAAAGCACACATCACCACGACATGCATCGTTATGCTAAAAATTTAGGTCATATTGATATTTTATCATTATTCATTGGTATCCCCACCACAAACTGATGGCGTCACATTTAAAATTATTTTATACGGTTATTTTACATCCAGTTGACACAGTGCTTCCGCGGCAGTCGTGTGTAAACAATTTTACAATTTTTGTTTAACCGCAAAAACGTTTTTGAATAAAGCACGGAATAACGCAAGCACCTAACGGGAAATATTTAATTTCTTCAGTTATGCCGAGTCCGCATTACAAAATTCCTTACATGACTGACCCCAAATGAATGCGGCCGCAAGTTCTGGCGATGAATAAAGGAAAACTAATTTACTCGTCCGCAACACATGCCACAAGAACCAACAACATGCTGTATGTGTATCTGGAAATGTACAAGTCGATGGAGGTTATGTGGCGCGGTTGATTTTACCGACCGCAGTTTCTATTTGGGCGAACCCAGAATGCCCATAAATATCTATGAATTGAGCATTAAGTATTAGATGGAGCGTAGGTTGCTTTTAAAGGAAATGTGTACTAAGTACATCGAAATTTACGGCAGACATTATTCAGTTATTTTTAATAAAGCTCTTAAAATTGTTACCGAAGCTTCACACTTTTATAATTTTACGAAATGATTTATTCGCGGGTTTGGGGCTTAAGGCGTAAATGCTTGCTGGGGAGATTAAATGAGACAAGTGTTCTAGTGGTAGCCAACACCACTATAAAGTTTCAAGTTGGAGTTGCTGTATTACGCAACTTAAAAACGTGCCGTTTTTGAATTATTCGGTACGGAAAAATTACAGTCGTTTAAGAGTTCTAAAGTATGAATTACGCTGTCAAGTAGTTTGTTGTTGCGAGATCTTCCAACGAAAGCGTTTCATTGTATCTGTCGAGCTTCATAAAAGTTAAAATCGCGTTACGCGAACTTTGTTGTTAAAATAGAGTTGTTAAATAATCCAGCTTTAGAAGTAATCGTGAAAATATCATCTGCAGAATTTACACTGGTTGCAGAAGCTTGGAAGAGGATTCCCGGGGTGAAGCACCAAGATGCATCCGCATTGGAAATCACTGAAAAATGATATTATATTTCTTGGGGGATAGATGAAGTGGATTACGGAAAATGTTGTCGGCCATTCAAATAGCGTGAGAAATATACAGCTAGGGGCGATTTTTCTGGACGAGTCGCCAGACATAGAGCGAACTAGGAAATCTAATAATAACGCGATAAATAAGTAAATAGGTAATCTGGTGAAGTAATCCCAGGACCAATTTGCTGAATTAAATGACAGTGACCAGGTTTTTTATTGGCTCAAGTTTTGTGTTGTATAAAATAAGAATCACATTCCGCTTCGTGTCGTATTTTTAAAAGTTCTATAAGCGCAGTATTGTTGCAATTCTATGTATCGATAGTGGTCCCTTGCGAACCAAAACATGATTCAACTTGGATTCTGTAGTCACAGATTGTTTTGTTCACTTCGATAAGGAAAACGATGTGGAGGGAATTTTAAAGTTTAACCATGTGTTTTCTGTGATTGTTCACCTTTGTGTAGATTTGTTTGAAAATAGAACGAGGCATTTATTAGCAATTTCCGAAGAAGAATTTGCTTCTCGTGCATTTGAATAAAAATTGGACGTGTATTAAAGTCGTAAATGTGTTTTTGCGCTGCCATAGTTGTAATTGACATTTTACGTTGACACGTGGCGTGTCGTAATGACAATGAAAAAGGATCTAGCGCCGCAAAATACAAACGAGGAATTTAAGCTTTGAAAAAATAAATTGATTATCACAAAGTAATTACGACTAATTGATAATCATGTATCTAAAGTTATTATAACAAAAAGTGGCTCGAAATTTTAAAAAAGCGCAATTTAAGTTGTAATCTTAAATAGGGGAATTTGTTCAAATTTTGGATTGGTAGTAATTTGACAGTTGACACTACTAGATGGTTTACGTTGTTGACAGCATTATGTTATTAGTGTTTGTTAGTAGTTCTTGCTTATTAAAAAAACCGTTTAAACTTGACGTTATTCACACTATTCGCGACCTCAGGCTGATGATAATCACAAGATTGCGAAAAAACGTACTATTTATTGAATTGTATAACAAGAAAAAAGAAACTAAACATCTGGAGGTAACAACTTACTTATTGTTATTAATAAAATTAATGGTAAAATTATTGCAGTTCGCGAACGTGAAATTTCCCTGTACATCTTTGAATGCAAGAGATGAATTCTTGTTTTGAACATTCATCGACGCAGTCGAAGTAGAAGGTCCATGAACGTCTCCGGCATTTAAGTTTTCAACCGATGGCTCCCAAGTACACTTTGATGTGGACGGTAGAGGGTTGTCAAGGGATGATCTTGAAGAAGACCCAGTGGTTAACTGCTCAGCTATAGCAATTTTGTCGCGGAGGGACTGTTCAATATAGCCTTCTGCTACAGTGGATGATTTCCATCCCCCAATACGTTTAATTCCCAGAAAATCAACACCTTTTGCCGCCAACAATGTTGCACTGCTTCTTCTGAATGAGTGGCCTGTATAACTTTGCGGGTTGGGTAGTCGAAGGAATTCAGCAATTTTCCGAGGCATAGTGCCAAACGTATTCATTCCCACTGGTTGTCGCGAGCATTTGTTATTACCGTAAAATAAGAAAAAACGTTGATGTGGAGTATTTGGTGGTCTTAATTCGTAATACTTGCGAATTACCAACAGCCATTGCTCATTGTTTATAACAAAGGTGCGATTAGTTTTATTTTTTGTGTTGCATAATGTCACAACAATTTGATGCGGCATGAACGTAACATTATCTGTCAGAAGATTTGTAAGTTCCATCCGTCTGCAAGCTCCAGATATTGCAATGATCAGAGCAGTCTACAACATAATACTAATTTTAGATCTTTGTTTAAAAATTTTATGTCTGTATTGTAGTAAATTACTGTATGTATAAATAAAGTTAAAATTACGTTTGTACCTTAATCATTAAAAACCTCTCGTCTGGAGCTGTATTTAAAAATGTTTCCACTTGGGACTCTGTCAGTATTTCAGACTTCTTAGGCTTGTAATTGTCATTCTGCCGTTTTAAAAACGTTGTTAATTTATGAAATTTCGAAAGATCTATGTTATTTTTGAGGCCAAGAGTAGTTTTCAAAATTGAATATATTGTCCACAGTGTGGAAGCTTTCATAATTTCCGACTTGATTTGGAAATAGGCCAAAAGCGTTGTTTCCGAAAATTCACGAATTTCATTTTCTTCGCACCATTGAATGAATTTGTGATATTCTGCCTCATACCGACTTGCGGATTTTGTAGGCAACAAATTTGATGTTGCTTTAGCAGCAATTTGCTGAATATGTGGAGGAATTTCCATTTCAACTTTGAAATTCAAAATCTAGCCCGGACAAATTGACAATTTGGTATTTGACGTATTTGGTGATAAATTCAATACCAACATAATTTCGGTTCAATAATATTTATTCTTTTAGCGATTGAAAAATATCATTTTTTCAAAAAGGCAGCGCAAAAAATATTGTATGATACTCGTGTGAAAACTCCATTGCATTACTCACTTACATACAGCGCTCGACTGCGTCTCGCGCCGTATTCCCGTTCGTAATGCAATGGACTGTTTTCAACACTTGTAACATAAATAACTATTGTGTGCAGTTCAGGCGTGGTGGTGCAGACGGGGACTAATATAGGGGGTAGTATTTCGTTTAATAAGCAATAATGTTTCATTGCGAATAGGCAATTCTTTCCTATAACAAGACATTGCAGCATTACGTAGTCATTTAAGTAAAATATTCCCTGAAACTACAATGCAAGACTTTTTTCATATCGTTTTGCTACAACTGTTAAAAAAGTTGCCACAAACTAAACTTAGATGACGTCCCCTCAAAATTTTCGAGATAAATGCTATTCAAATTTTATAAAATAACATTTTCGCATATATGATGTATTTAAAAAAAATGTTTTGTTTTATTTATTTCAAAGGCAAAGTAAGTTCTTTTTAATTACACAAGACCATTTTAACTTCCCGAGCTTAAGGTGGCTACTTTCATGTTTCCATGATGTGTTATAACCCCTAGAGTACCAAAATATAGGTCGCTCGTTTCCGTCTACCTGACTGTATATCGGTCTGTTTACCGTCTGCACGGTTTTGTATTACGCACTTCGAAACTACCGGACTAATTGTTGTCAAATTTGGATGTATGTTAGAAATATTATGTGAATAGTAAATTTTATATATCTTTAATCAATAAAAAATCAAAATTTTATAGTAACATTTTACAATTTAAGTTAAAATTGCAAAATCGAGTGCTCTGAAATCTTGCAAACGTTTTAAATTTATCGCAAACAAGCAGGTTCATCGTTAATCAAAATTTATCCGTTCATTTCCTTCCAAAAATTGTTGATGTCATCTTACAATTTTGTATAATAAGTGTTAATAAGTAACATAGTCCTGAACTTGTAGTTTATGAATCCATGTTGAGTTTGTATTCCAGATATCGAGATTTTTGAAAAAAATAAAAAATTTGTAACAATTCATTTTTTCGATTTTCGATTTTTCATTTCGATTTATGACTTCTGAATTTTCTAGTTTTTCGAATTCTCAATTTCAATACATGTTTTAAGATCCATGAATTTTTCGAAATTTAAAATTTTCGATTTCCGGATTTTTTTATTTTTCAATTTATCAATTTTCCGATACATATTTCAGTTATACGATTTTTCGAGTCTCCAATTTTTCTATTCCTCAATTTTCAATTTTTCAATTTTTCAATTTTTCGATTTTTCGATTTTTCCATTTTTCAATTTTTGGCACTTCTCGATTTTGATTTTTCAATTTCTGTTTTTTTCGACTTATCAATATTCCAAATTCTTGATTTATCGATTCTTCTCAGGTCAGGTCAATTATTCAATTTTTTGGTTTTTTAATTTTCCAATATCTCAGTGTAGGAATATTTCAATATTTCGATTTCTCAATTTTTTGATAATTTGATTTCTCAATTTTTCAATTTTCTACATTTTAGACTTTTAGTTTCAATTCGTTTAATTTTTTTAGATTTCTTTATTTATCGTTTTTTTTTTAAATACGCTAATTTTTAATTTTTAAATTTTAAGATTTTTAATTTTCCGATGTTTCAATTTAGGCATTTTTCATTATTTCGATCCTTCGACTTTTCAGTTCGATTTCACGATTTCTCGAATTTTTACTTTTTCGAATTTTGGAATTTTCAGCTTTTTCAGCTTTTCGGTTTCTCAATTTTTCGACTTTTCTGCTTTGAGATCTTTCAGTTTTTTGATTCTTCATTTTCACGATTATTCAATTTCTGGATTTTTCAATTTTTCAGTTTCCCTATTTTGAAATTTTGATATTTCAGCTTTGGGCTTCTTCAATTTTTCGATTCTTCAGTTTTTCAAATTCTCAAATGTTCGATTTCTATCTCTCAATTTCTATGTCTCAATTCAATTCTTCACTTTTTGAGTCTTCAATTTTTCCATAGTTTGTTAATTCCTCGATTTTTACATTTTCGATTTTTCAATTTTTCGACTGTCTAAATTTTAACTTTTCGATTTTTCAATTCGTTTAAATTTTCGATTTTTCAATTTTTTGGTATTACGATTTGTCAATCTTTCGATTTTTCGACTTTCCGGATTTAGATTTTCTAGGATTTTTAATTTTTCGTTTTCTCCATTTATCGAGATTTCAATGATTTGACTGTCTAGTTTTCCGGGCTTTTGCAATTTTTGAATTTCTTCATTTATCGATTTTTGTTTTAATTTCCTAATTTTTCAATTTAATGATTTTTTAATTCTTCGATATTTGAGCGTAGGGATTTTTCAATATTTGGATTTTACGATTTTTCGATTTTTTCTTTTTCGGCTTTTCGATTTCTGTATTTTTAACTTTCGGTTTCTGAATGTTTCGATATTTCAGCTTTGGGATTTTCCAGTTTTTTGATTCTTCAATTTTTCGATTATTCAGTTTTTCAATTTCTCCATTTTCAATTTTTCAATATTTCAGTTTTGGGATTCTTCAATTTTTCGATTTTTTAAATTTTCGATTTCTCGATTTTTCTATTTTTCAAATTTTTAATTTCACGATAATGTTCATTCTTTCTCCTTTTCAAATTTCCTATTTCTAAGTTTTTATGTTTCAATTTCTCAATTTTCCGATACATAAATATTTCAGTTTATGATCTTTTAATTCAATTTTTAGGTCTTCGATTTTTGGATTTTTAAATTTGTATCGATTGTCAATTTCCGAATTTTGATTTTTTCTCCATTTTTCACGTTTAGATTTTTGGTTTAGCATTTCTCGATTTCTCGATCTTTCAATTTTTCAAATTCTCGATTTATCGATTTTTCAATCCTTCAGTTTTTTGATTTTCCAATTTTTTTTAGTTATCAATATTCCAATTCCTCCATTTTTCGAATTTATATTTTAATTTGTCGATTTTTACATTTTCAATTTTTCTATTTTTCGGTTTTTGATTTTCCGGATTTTCAATTTTTTGGTTTTTAAATTTTTCGATCTTTCAACTTTTCGATTTCTCGATTTATCAATTTTTCGATTTCTCAATTTTTCAATGTTTCAGTTTTGGGATTTTACAATTTATCGGTTCTTCAGCTTCTTTTCGATTTTTCAATATTTCGATTCCTCCATTCTTCGATTTTTTTGTCTTAAGTTCTCAATTTTTTACATTTTCGATTTTTCGTTTTGATTTCTCGATTTTTTACATTTTACATTTTTCTATTTTTCTGTTCGTTGATTTCTATATTTTTCAATTTTCCGAATTTTTCAATATTACATTTTTTAATTTTTTGATATTGCGACTTGTCAATCTTTCAGTTTTTCTAGTTTTTGATTTTAGATTTTTTGATTATTCGGTTTTTAATTTTTTGATTTTTCAACTTTTCTATTTCACGATTTATCGAGATCTCGATGTTTCGATTGTTCAATTTTCCGATTTTTGTGTTTCATAATTTTTGATTTATTGTTTTTTATTAATTTTTCAATTTTTAATTTTTCGATTTTTTAATTTTGAGCTAATTCGATTTCCCAGGTTTTCGATTTCGCGACTTTTCGTTTTCCCGACTTTTCCATTTTTCGATTTTTCAGTTTTTCCATGTTTCGTTTTTATGATTGTTCAATTTCTCGATTTTTGCAATCTTCCGATTTTCTAAATTTTCGATTTTTGGAGTTTTAGTTTTTTGATTTGTCGATATCAGGGTTTTTCGATTTTTTTAATTTTTCGACTTTTTGTTCGATTTCTCTATTTTTCAAATTCCTGGTTTCTCAATTTTTCAATATTTTAATTTTCGGAATTTTTCAAGTTTTTCATGTTTTACTATTAGGAATTTTTTATATTTTAGGTTTTCCGTTTTGTCGTTTTCTCAATTTATCACTTTTTCAAATGTTGGATTTTTCGATTTTTTGATATTTCAACTGCCCAATCTTTCCGAATTTTTCAATTTTAGATTTTTTAATTATTCTATTTTTCAATGTTTTAGTTTTGGAATTTTTCAATTTTTCGGTTTTTCTGTTTTTATTTAATTTTTCAATTTTCGATATTAATTTTCCAGTATTTCAGTTTAGACTTCTGAATATTTCGATTCCTTTTCCGGATTTTTTCGTTTTCAATTTTTCGTTTTTATTTCTTAACCTTTTGCATTTTCGATTTTCAATTTTCAATTTTTTAAATTTTAGATTTTTCTATTTTTCAGTTCGTCGATCTCTTTTTTTCAATTTTCCGAATTTTTCAATTTTAGTTTTTTAATTTTTTTGATATTGCGACTTGTCAATATTTAAATTTTTCCATTTTTCGGTTTTAGATTTAGCGGATTTTCAAATTTTCGGTTTTTAAATTTTACGATTTTTCAACTTTTTGATTTTTCGTTTCATCAGTATTTCGATTTCTCAATTTTTCAATGTTTTAGATGTGCGATTTTTCAATTTTTCGATATTA